ACGATCTTCAGTAAATATTCGAAAGCCCCGAAAATAACCACCTTTATGTAGATGATTTGGGTAGTATGTACATTCCAAGTATATACTGCAACTACCCAGGAGATTCAATCCAACTTTTGCATTCGACCGAAACACGTCGGATCCGAATCCGGATTGCATCGAAATGTCGATATCTTCCATTAACAAAGCTATCAGATCCGATATGGTTTGTGTCGGATTCCCATCGCCCGGATTCCGAACCGGAGTGCATCGGAAAGCATCCGGTCGAATCCGGTCGTAACCGTCAGCATATCTTATCGTATCAGTTAGGAACCGTCTTTCGGAAAGAGTCGGATGATCAAGGACCGTAAACCGGAAGATGTCTGATTTCATCGGATTTTCTGCAAAATACTCCGACGCCGGATTTTGACCAAAGAGATTCGATCGAATCATGATAAATCCGACAATCCGATCTCACCGGATTCGAACCATGCTCTACTACCATTTCAAACTCAACCGGATCCGACAACAATTCCGGTGCAATCCTCTCCTGGAATCACCGGAAGCAACACAATCGAATTCTGATCATCTGTTCCGGTACGATCCCAAAGTATCCGACAACAATCATTCAAATCATACCCAATTCCGACGCAATCCGATGACTTCCGATGCTATTCCGACAACCAGAAGATTCAACATTCGTGCAAATCTCACTCTACAGAAACATCGGAAACAGTCGGATACATCCAGTTCCGAAACTATATAAACAAAACTACCCAATAAAGCCAAATAAATTACCCAAGAAAATGAACAAGTCTAGTGGAATATAAAACCCACCAAAATGAGCATAAATTGCTCACTATCACAATAGTATATTTATCGAATGCAATGAACAATTACGTTGAGCATAAAAAAGATCACGAAATATGATGTTGATAGGATCCCATGTCACTTACCTAAGAAAATGAACAAACCTTTTCGAATATAAAATCGAGCGAACTGAGCATTAATTGCTCATTATCAATATAATCTACGTATCGAATCCAATGGACAATTATATTGCGCACAAAAAAGATCGCTAAATCTGCTCTCGACATGATCCGACAGCAACTAATAAAAAAGGGTACTAAACTATAATTGCTCACTTTTCATTCTCCCTGGCCCTATCCATTTACAGGGTAGGAAAATCCTTGAGATCGGCATAAAATCAGATTTGTTTCGCTCCACCATAGAAAAGAGCATTACTACTCGCTTTTGATTCGCCTTGGCTCAATCGATTTAAAAGTTCGGAGAATCATAAAGATCGTCACTAGGGGTGGCACTTTAACTTTAAACTTTAAGTGTTAAAGTGGTTAAAGTTTAAAGTCCCACTTGAAACTTTAACTTTAAATTTTTGAAAATTAAAGAAAATGTTTCACTATAAAAAAATGTTTTCTTAAAAATTCATAAAAGTGAATAAACATTTATGAAAGTACTCATAACTCTTCATGCAGTGTGAAACCGGGTTATCCATAGGTAATCATCTACTATATATTGGGAGTACCCTTGGGTCATCAACTACTATATAATGGCGGTACCCTGAGGCTATCAGCTACTATATAGCGAAGAGCCGGCACAATAATTCATGCATTATATTACACCGGTGCTCGCATGTCAACGTAGGCTATATAACAGTAGTGCTCATTCGTCTTCATTAAGTATATAACAATGTTATCGATAATTCGTTATAAACTTGGTACCGAAGTATCGAAAACGAGGCGTAGGCAACATAAGAAAGTGTGGAGAGCTCGTCAGCATGTATGGAATTGGTGGAACAATCGGTCTTGCAGTGTCACCTGGTAGTAGTCTGTGCCTGTGATGGTGATGTGTATAGTGTTTCTTTTTATATTCTTCGCTAGATATCTCGGAGTAGCGACTTTATGCCGGTAACGGCTTTAAAGAGTTATATTGTATGGCCCTTGAAGAGTTATTATTTGATTTTTCGTACCTTGAATTTTGCTTTGATGAATGTGGGAGCCAGCATTCTTCACCAGTATACAAAATCGTTGCTCTCATTGTCATTTTATACCTTACCTTTATGACTAGCCGGAGATGAGCAGCAGCTTTTTAATTTTGAGCCCCTTAATTGCATCACGGCTTATACTAGAGTGTTTAGTATTTTGACTATAACATTGTCATTACTCAATGAAAATCAAAAAGTTTTTTTACCAAAATGATCAGCGTAAAAAGCTCTACAGAAATAGATATAAGGGAAAAGTTTTAGAATATCCTTGCTATTCGTTTATGTGTAAAAATAAAAAAGTCCAGGCTTTTTTCGGCCCTCACTGTATGAGTATCGATTGATTCTTTTGTGGCACTTTTTTGCTACCAGCCATGCAAAAGGCGTGGTTAATGGCATCGGTGGCAGTGTTAAAAGACTTGTTTGGCAACAAATATTAACCAAAAAAGATAAATGTGAAAATGCAACGGATTTGTTAAAATTGCAAAAGCAAAAACTAAGGCTATCATTATTGATGAAATAACATAAAAAGATATTGATAAATCGACAACTCAATTACAAGCATTTTTTTCGAATACACTCTCTGTCAAATTTCCAAACTAATTTTTCATATAGAGAGCCCTAACTGTCCTCTATAAATTACAATATAGCTATTGTTTTTACAATTCAAGTATTCGCAGAAATTTCATACGTTCTAACAACACCGAAAGAAAGGAGGGCCTTTTTTGTGAGTACGTTACCGGCATGTATTTTTAGTATAAAAACGAAACTGTAAAGTCGATTAGTATAAAACTTATACATGTTAAAGTGTTTCATAACATGCATATATCCTCAAAGTTTCAAGGCTCTAAGCTTTGTTGTTGCTAAAAAAATCGGATCGAAAGTTGACAAAACGTGAGTGCGTTACCTACGGGCAAGCCGTAGAATATTATTGATGATAATGCACATATACATGTGTGCTGGTATGCATTTAATAATCATTAGTAGTCTTTGTAATAATAACGTAGTAGAAAATTCTCAGTTATAAATCATGAAAAGAAAAACGTCTTTTTGGATGATGCTATAGGACAGTACTAAGACACTCGTAATTTCTACAAACAGCGGAAGACGAAAGTACATTCTTTTCTGTCTTTGTTCGACAAATCTCAATGATTGTCAGTTTGGGATATAAAAATCTGTTATTTTATTGTACCATACTACGGTATGTGTGTTTCGTTAAAATATTTCATATCATAGTTAAAACGCATTTGTGGCGCTAGGTTTGAATAATAGACTTTCATGTGTATAGATCTCAAAATTTGAAAACATATTCAGAAGATTCATTTAGTACGCGCACCCATAATACTAAAGCATTTTATTAATATTTCATTCTTTTGTTAGCGGTGATCTGTCTAAACGAGTCTTTTTTACATAATTTAATGTAAGAACGGTGGGTGTCTGGGTAATTCCTTTTTTCTCTAAACAAGTTATAACGATATATACTGTCAATTGGATTAGTTATGATTGATGCCAAATATCTCTAGGATAGTCTTGGCCATCATTGATAATGTACTAGACTAGCCAAATTACATGCCTTTAACCGTTTTTCGATTACCTAGAGAATGGACAGGTGTTTTGCTCTCATTTGAACTTTGTTAGTTAACTTCATTTTATTCATAAATGATAATTTAGCATCTAACGAATCAATAGATATTGAAAACTATCAGATAGAATGTTGAAATTCATCTTTGATCTTTTTTTTCGCTTTTTTTTCTATTATATGGACTAGTCTTGTTGGAGTTATTAGGTATACCTTGTCATGATCACTAGTTATAATGGATATCAAGGATGTTTCAGAATAGATCTGGTGAGTATGGTGAACCTTTTGAACTAGTTATGTCGTTCATCTTCACTTATTTTTTGTTTACTTGGCTAAACGTAATTATTGATTAAGAACGTTGATATGATAACTAATGACTTACATTATCTATTATGAAAAATATATTTTAATTCAATAATGTGATTAATATTACTTATTGCCATAACATAGTTATCTACCAATTTCACCCGCAGGGCATCTTCTACGTGTCATAATAGATCTAGTTCGAGCCTCTATATGCAGGTATATATACATATTCTATTCGATTGACGTACGCTTACACTCTCATCATCTTTATTTAACAGCAAGCTCCATCGACATGCACATAAATTATATAGTGATTTTCTCCCATTCTTAGTTGCTATATTTTCGTCAAAGTGGTACCCATATAGACAAAAATATGAGATGAAAAAAATGATGTCTGAATCTTAACAAGAATCCTGTTGTTTTGTAATATCTATGCATACAGATCCATATTCTAACACACCAAAAGCTTCTTCGAGTTTGTTCGTATTTGAAAAAAAAATACATTTTGAATATTATCTATAATTTAATATGATAACATGTAATCGTTGGAATTATATTGATCCATTGTTTAAGATTTTTTCATAGATTACTTTATCTTTTACTGTGACCACGCTTCATTTACAACATATAATAAAAAATACTGTCTCAATTAACGTTGTGCGTATGTATTGATAATATTTATGTTTCATGACTACCAATGAAGCGTAGCCGAAAAGACACGTGTAACAATAAAATAAGATAAGCATACCTATACATTCATACAAAAAAGCAGTAGATCATTCTATCACCATCGAACATACATCGACACTATAGTCACTTAACGGAAGCAATTGTCGAGGTTTTTTTGTATTAATAAACAAAAATCTTATTGTAATCGTACTACATTGCATCTTTATGACATGAATATCATAGAGGACAATGAGCAGGTATGTATCGAGAGTTGAATGCTTAACAGCAATTTTTAGGAATAGATATTGTTGTGCAACTGTGTATTCACAGTATAAAATGATAAATTTTCAATATTGTTTTTATCAGGCTAATCATCAATACTCACCGAGAAGCTCAAAGAAAAATAAGCAAGACATTAGAAACCAAAACACCATACAAAATATCAATGTATCAAATCAGCAAGCAGTCATGGATGTCGATGATGCAGTAATGAAATATCAAGCAAATATGGAATCTGGCATCGTTAATATTCAAAAACAACGGGTACAATTGGTGGGTCAAAATCTCAGCAAAAAGCATCGAAAGAAAAGCAGTCTAAAACGTGCTGAAATCCCTAGTGATTCGATATGTATCCATGATAACACTGACTGTATAATGGATAAGTCTGTAACAACAAAACAACAAGTTTTACAACTACTTGTTATAAAAAAAGATCAAATAATTATCAATGAAACTGAAAACCTTGGAACAAATGCAGCTCCGATTATTGAGTATGCCAAAGAGCCTTTGCTGCCTCTCGCAGATGCATGTGCTCCGCTGGTTGACATTCTTTATGATTTACCGACTTATGTTAACATGGCACTTGATGAAACTCCTAAAGAGCCACTTGATGGATTAACCGTTGATGAGAGCGCTGCTATTCGTCTCTATACAATCGAATGGGTAGCACCACATCGAAGTCTTTATTCGATGCTTAATCATACTTTGAAGTATGCGAGTCGTGACGAACTTCGACCGTATTTTAAATATATGAAACTATTTTTAACTGCCCTCGCCAAATTGCCATGCGTTCCACCATTGACTGTTTGGCGAGGAGTAACTAAAGATATGAGCGCCGACTTTCCACCTGGTACTCTAGTGACATGGTGGGCATTTTCATCAACTACAACTGAACTGACTGTACTCGAAAATAAGATGTATTTAGGCAATACAGGTGCCCGAACATTGTTCTCCGTCGAAGCTATCAATGGACGAACCGTGCGTGCTCATTCACATTTTACTACTGAAGATGAAATTCTACTTCTACCCGGTACACACATGATAGTTCGATCACAGTTTAGTCCGGCATCTGATCTCCATATGATTCACTTGAAACAGATTATACCGAAGCAAATATTACTTGAACCACCTTTCGAAGGTAATATAAATATTTTCAATCGTTTCATTTTTTAACGGATTGCTGTTTATTGTTAGGTGCATGCTTATATCCCAAAGTTAAGTAAGTTTCATTGTATGGTGGTCGAGCTGTGATTTCGAAAAATCTCTTTTTAATCAAATATTCTAGACCATCATGGTATTGTAGGAAACGATTTCTTATTCCGATGTGTTTAATGATAATTTTGACTACCGTAGCAACGATTCTTGGTGCCGTACTTGGGACACGAAAAGGCAACAATCGAAGTATATATGAATCTTTTGTGTTCTTTTGTTTTTCTCTTTCAAGATTATCAGTTCATGTATATCGAAAAGACTGTATTGGACTTCTAAATCGAGTTCGATACTACTCATTTTTTCTTATTCATTCCCCAAAGCATTTTATTTTAAATGTCTTGAAACATGCAATACAATATATCTCGTAAGAAGGTTTATAACTAAACCGGAAGAGTTGCATCATCGACTGAAAGATTAAGAATTCTCTGAAAGGAATATAATTCTATAACAATAGAGCACTAAATGAATAAGTAGAGTATCAGTTATCACACAACTTCCTCATCTGAGATCATCAAATTAGAATGCAATAACAGAATATTTCGCATCAGTGTCTCCTTCGAACGTGAGAGGTTGATATTGTAGCCGACATGAGAACTCTTCTTCAGAGGAAATAAAAATGTATTGTTCATTTATAATTTGATTCGATGATTTCAATTGTCAATCTAGATAATAAAAAGATTTAAAGCTTATCGAAACAAATGCTATGATAAGGTATTCCTTGCATAATCTTTTGCATCGTGCATTCAAGTCTAGAATATTTTTGACAGATGATACTTATGAAAACTGATGATCATTATCAGACTTGAATAGCTCTATTCTAACACAAAGAACAGTTCCGAGCTTCCTATTAAACACACCATGAGCACTTGTGTCTCATGTTGCTAGAAAATTCTATACAAATGCTAGGCTGGTCGTCAGTTCGTCATGAATGCTTAATATAACTTTATTCTTTCTATTGATATAATAAACGTGAATATATCGAAAAAATTCTTATAAAAATTATAATTCTATAATAGTATTGCTGCCTTTTTCGATGACAGAAACTTCAAGAAATGAAATTCAGTGCTTTATACACACAGATTCCGAAGGAAACAAGATTTTATTGATTGCTAATTTGTCATCTAAGGCAATAAGCTGCAAAAAACACGAATTACCTGGGAAAAAATGTGGAATCTTCATTCTCTTTTCTCACTTCAGCATTTACATACCCTTTCACAACTTCAACGAGCTCAGAGGTTGGCAAATTGCCTGTTTCTCTGGTGTATGGTCATTTTAATACTGATAAAAACATTGATCTAGCCATACTTAATTTCGACAACCCAAGCGTTGATATTTTGATTGGTTATGGAAACGGCAATTATGAGATGCCGACAGCATATTACGCCGGCAATGGTCCCACTTTTATGAGTTTCTGCGGTTCACAGCGTAATACGACAATAGAGCTTATCTTAGTCAATAAAGCAGATGGTACCGTCAGTATGGTGATTGCCTATAAAAATGGAACAACTCAAGTTTACACAGATTATGCAGTTGGTAATGGACCACTTGCGGCTCAATGCACTGATTTTAACAACGACACAGTCATCGATGTAGCAGTGGTGAATACGTTAGACAACAACGTGGTCATATTGTTGAGTTATGAAGGTGTAGCTTTCAAATATCAAAACATTTACTCCGTCGGCACAGAACCAGTTGCACTGAAATCTGGTGATTTTAACAACGATTCGAAACCCGATCTGGTAATAGTCAATAAAGGTGATAACACTATTTCTCTGTTGATTGGCAATGGAAATGGGACTTTTCAACAACCAATAGTCCAAGGTGTTGGTGAACAACCAAATTCTGTGGTACTCGGAGACTTTAACAATGATGAAGAGCTGGACATGGCCATAGCAAATAGTGGAGCAACTTTCATCAGTGTTTTATTTGGTTATGGAAATGGAAGCTTTCAGACTCAAGTAACTTATGATGTTGGCAATGGTTCGAACACTATAGTAGCAGCTGATTTGAGTAATGATGATATCTTAGATCTGGTGGTAACTACTTCGAATGGAACTGATGTTAGTGTACTATTCGGTAGCCTCAGTGGAACTTTTCAAAGTTCAGTCAGGTATAAAGTTGGTAATAATCCGACCCATGTGATCGCTGCTGATTTCAACAAAGATAGCAGCCTTGATCTTGCATTGACGAATACGGGTGAAAATACAATAAGCGTACTTATTAATGATGGAAGAGGAAATTTTCAGTCTCAAATCAAGTATGCTACTGGAAACATTCCGATATTTATCGTTGCTGGAGATTTTAATAATGATACGAATTGTGATCTCATTGTGATTAACTATGGCGAAGATAATTTCATTCTGATCATCGGCAATGGAGATGGAACATTTCGGGCTCGAATACCATTTATGCTGTCTACAATAGGCAGCTATATGGTAGCGGGAGATTTCAATAAAGATAACAGAACAGATCTTGCAGTGACCAATGAGTATAATCAAAGTGTTAGCGTACTACTCATCAGTAGAAATGGTGTCTTAGAACTTCAAGGCACATATCAATGTGGATCTTTACCAATGTTCATGATTGTGGATGACTTCAATGGTGATTCTCGATTAGATCTAGTAGTCGTCAACCGGCTAGACAATGACATTAGTGTGCTACTCGGCAATGGTGATAATACTTTTCAAAATCAAACTCGGTTTGCCACTAGTCAACGACCAGTTTCTGTAGTATCAAGCGATTTCAACAACGATAAAAAAATGGACTTGGCAGTAACTAACATAGTCGGTCAAGATATCAGTATATTATTGGGTAATGGAGATGGCACCTTTCAATCTCAACAACTTTATCAAACAGGAGTAAGTCCGAATTATGTGATAGCAGTTGATTTGAACAGTGATCAAATTATTGATCTCGTAGTGGCCAATCGAGGCGAAAACACTATCAGTGTTCTTACTGGTTATGGAGATGGAAGCTTTCGGAACCAAATAAAATTTTCAGTGACATCAGGTCCTACATTTTTGTTGTCCGGCTATTTCAATGACAATTCGTTGTTGGGTATAGCTGTAATCAGTCAGCGCTGGAGCAAAATTGATTTGCTGATGACCGAAGGAAATTTGACTTTTTCCTTCCAGAAAACTATGACCATTGCTACTTTTCCAAGTGCTGGAGTAACTTGTGATTTCAATAATGATGGGAGAATTGATATAGCATTCATTAGTAAACAATACAATATTCTATCTGTATATCTGAACGAAGGTCAATAGTTGCTCGCTAAGTTATAAATGCTTCAAAAGTCAAGAGCGTCTTATTCAAGTTCAAGAACTTTTCATGCACACTTATTATTTTATCAGAAAATTTAAATTATAACATTGTTTTTACATTGTACCTAACAAAAAATTGTTAACTTACTAACTTCATTTTAAGTACAAGCTTCATCAAAAATTGTGTGGGTGTGGGTGTGGAGTTGATATCCATATTCATAACCTCAAGTGTTTTTCGAAACGTCGTTAAATAAATAAATTAAAATAAAAAAGGGAAGAGTAAAACTATTCTTAAACGAAAAAGTACATCGAAGTTATTGTTACAAGATGGTGTTAATAGACAATACAAAAAGGAGAAAACAATTAATCAAAATTAGGTTATAAATCAATGATTTCTAAAAGCAATAGTTATGGTACAAAACGAACATGAATTGAAGAATTTTTTTCCGAAATAGCAATATTCATATTTTCGAGATAGATATTCGAAAATAAATCGCCACAGAACAAAGTTTAATTACTAAATGTACTTCTTGCTTTGTTTTTTTTCTAGACAGAAGAGAGATTACTGTATATTACCAATCATCTTCTAATAATTGTTTTTATTTACTACATATTTTTTCAATCATACTGTATGACTGATGAATGAGAGAGTAGACAAGTATATGTTGAACAAGTTAAAAAAGAAACTTGTATCAGCTTGAGTACTGATTTCAGAGAGGATTATGAAGAAACAATTGTTGAGTTACTAATTGCAACAGCTTTCGTTTGTGTAGATTTGTTCAATCAAACGTATAGTAACTGAACAATTGCTTCTTGACTCTCCATGCAAATTACACAAAGAGATGTCGAGCTTCATTTATCAACAAATATTTATGATATCAGTTACAAAGCAGCAAAAAAAAGTTTTATCTTATCGTGAACCTTACTTCTGTATTATTATAATGATTTCTTTTGTCTACGAATTTACAGCATCATTTTTATTCGAATTCAAAAAGACTTAAACCGTTTCATAGAGAATATGAAAAGGTTCTCTATGCGAATTAAGACATTATTTTTCTGCTTTCTGTTTATATTGAGTGTACGATAGTCTGTCGCTTGGACGTACTTAAATTCATGCGGAAAAAATAGGAAGAAAAAAGCCTTTTAGTAAGTATAATAAGCCGTAAAATGGACGAAATACACAATACATTTGCTAGAGATAAGAAGGGTCCCACTCGTTCACAGACAGCGAAGCGAAAAAGTAGTTGATATAAAATAAGAGGGAGAATAAGAAGGAACAAAGTGCAGCAAGGAATTGAGAAAGACAACTCAGTGAGACAAGAAAAACTAAAGACGTAAGCGGGTGTGGGTGTGAATGTTAATGTTTGTGCAACAGAGGAGTCTTTCCTTCGCCCATACTTACACCTTTTTGTCCTTATTCCTTTATATAACGCATAATAGTGCATTTATTGTATTTCGTCTGAAAAAGTTGCTTATGGCAGCTAAACGTCACATTTTTGCAAAATATTTTTAAAAAATAGAATCTAGTAAATTATTACGCAGACAGTTAGAATAGAGAATACAAATGTCCTTGAAGTCATCGAGAGTCGCGTATTATATAAAGTGTAGTTTCATCCCATTATACAGTTGATATTCCAATTGAAAGTTTTACAGCATACACATTACTTTTACCGATAATCTCGACAATTTCTGAAATGTTTGAAGGTTTAGACATTTGATCGTAATGATCTTTCATTAGCTGATCGAAACATATTTGTTTATTGAATTTTTCTAGTTCATTTTCGTTGAAATCGACCTTGACCCATCCTAAACTCTTTTCTGTGTCAATATCGTCATCGTTTTTCTTGGGACAAACGCAATCATTGTAGGCTCTCTCGAAACCAGAATGCTCGTTCTCATGGACGGTAGTCATAGATCGATGAACTTATGCCACAACAGAACTTGTGGGTTTGCAAATGTTAAAAACGTGATGTGATGAATCTATCTGCAATTGTGAAGTGCATCATTACGCGAATACGTGGGGTTCAAAGATAAACGATAATGATATAAAACAAGCACAAGCGTGATCGTTGTATTAGAGACACCCTTTAAATACTACACACCGATCTTTACAGGGAAATAATACTGGTTGAAGTACTCAGATACATGATTAAGGTAACCTGAAGGGCATGTGAACCCTGATTGCGCAATCTCAAGTGGAAGGTTCTAAATTAAACAGTCACGGAAAGGCCACTCGAAAAACCCTAGAAAATAGACCACGTTCTGGTACTTGATAAAGTTCAATCAGATTTATTTCATCAGCAATAAACCAATGTAATTACCAAGGGGAAACAAGCAGACTTCAAGATTTCAAGATTTTCAAAGATTTTAGATGTTAAAATCTGCTTTTTTTTCCCTTGAAAACATCATTCTAGAATCGACGGTAAACGTTGTCAATGCTTTTTTTGTGTTCGTGCAAAAATCACGAAATGAAACTAACTGTTCTTTGTAGTGTGAGTATTATCTGTTATATTCAAAATTGATTTCACGTGCACTCCAAAGGAAAAAAATAATTTAATGATGAAAAAAAGAATGAAAGTTCAACAGAAAGGACAACAAACTCCACTTAACGAAAAAATCTGAATCATGGATGCTGTTTATTATCGTTGTAGTTATCGAATAAAATGACTAAGCATGAAAGATAAACAATGAGTGGTGATTAGGTATTCGTACTACATCGCATGGGTGTGGATATTTTCTCCAAGGTTACCCACACCCATTAAAGAAATCTAACCTGTTCTTTTTCTGTGCAAAAATTTCGAGTGTTGCACATGTTTCAAGTAATGTTGCTACCAAGTCAAAGCTCAGCTGTTTCTCTTAAAGATCTTTCCAGAATATATTTTAATACGTATGCTAGACATTTCAACTCAACTCAACTCACACCCACATCCCATTAAAAAAACACCTGTCATATGTTTTGACAAAGATGGACTCAAACACAGAGTTATTTGAAACTCTCGTATCTTCGTATCCGTCATGTCTTCGTGCAGTAAAAAATGATAATGGATGTCATGCTAATTACTGATTTTATTCCTCAAATCTGAAAAATAAATCTTCTTGATGCCATTCATCATTTTGAATCAGATTTAGTTCGAACTACCTCATGAAAGATATTTTTTCATACTAAAATAGCGAAAAATTCCTAGAGATTTGCTATGTTTGATATAAAACAATTGCCAAAGCTCATACGATTTAATACCGACAAATCCCTCTTTTGACGCGCTTTCATTTGGCATAAAACTTTTTATTAGTGTTGTTTAAAATCATTGCATTACACACCTGGAAAAATATTTTTACGCACCGTGCATTTTTAAAATAACATCATCGATGAATTAATTATTATTTGTTGTTTAGTTAATGCTTAGTCACTTAGACATGATATAGAACTATAAACATACGAACGTCGTTGCCGCTCATAAAATGTAATACTATTTTCTCTTTCCTCTGTGTTTTCGACAGATAGTAGACGAACAGTTGACCAATCACAACCAATATCTACCGTCAGTTTTGTTTTAACTAGCACAACCGTATGCCTTTTGAATCTGTTAGGTTCTAGATTCAAATCAGATCTCCCTCGACATTCAATGAGAAAATAAGTTCACTGGATTTTGAAGATAAAGATCACTATCCAAATGAAAAATTAATCATGTTTTCAGGGTGTTCGGAAAGTCATTTAACAAAAGTTTTTCGCATAAATTCACTATTTGATTTCCCTCTGTCAACTAATTTTATTTAAATGACACGTGGATGCACTGAGTTTTTATTTATACGAAAAAACTTCAAAAGTACTGTTCAAAGCTATCGTCTTCAGGTGAGACACAAAACTTTAGCGTATTTTCTATTTCCAGAAAAAATCATGAATGATGTCTACATTAATTGCTTGAGTTCTGATCTAATACCGTTCAATTCGTTTCTACGAAGACATATCAAAATAAAGTTCTATGAAAAGACTGCTAAAAAACTAAAAATCAATTGATAAAATGAAATCAAATAGTAAAGTTATGCAAAAAAAACTTTTGTTAAATGACTTTCCAAACACCCTGTAGATGTAACCAACGTTGTAACAGCATTCACGCCGATTAAGTTCTCAATTCTATATTTATTTTCAAAGTCTTAAAAACAAATTACATCTAAAATAATGCCAATTAATCCTACTTCAAGATATTATTCAGAATAATTTCTTTTTTTTACTATTATTCCATGAATCGCCTTTTATCAAGAGTGATCATTCTCACAGAAGCGATTCAATATCAAGCTCTGGAATGTATTTAGAACGAAGTAAATATAAAGATTGTTTTTATTTAAAATATTTATAACAAAATTTTCATATAGCATTAAGGTCGAAAATAAGATGATTTAACTGCATTTTTGATATTAGCAGCACAAATAGAAAAAGGTTTAATTCATTTTTTTTCAAATGATATTCAAAAAAAAAATTAATGAATATGAAATTCATTATTACTGTTTTAGTATATACTAGGTCCTATTATTATCGTAGAGTATGAGGGGGTTCAAGTAGTTTTTTTTTCTATACTAATCATCAAAACTCATTATTAGATAGATCAATGCAAAAGTTTCTCGAACAAATCAATGTTCAATAGCTTGTTCTTGAACTTTTATTCTTCATTCATTTAAAATAGAAATTATCAAGGTACAATTATAGATCAGCACAATTATTTTTTTTTCGGTCATAGCTTAAATATTGTATTTCTTCTAATTTTGACTTTGTTTCTAAAAACAAGCAATCTGTTTAATAATTGATATAAATGTTCGAAACAAAACCTGTATGAATAATCTGTAATCTGGGCCACTTCAAGACTCAATTTGACAGCATGAAACTTTAGAAGCAATATAGCTAAGCGTGATGCAAAGTGAATCGAATGTGCACATTCACGTTCATTTTCCCACAGTGGTATCTAGATATTGCCACATGAGACTCACTCTGGCCCTATCTACCAGTAGTA